TGACCTAACTTTTATCTTTACTAACAATTATGCTCACCTGATCTGAGTTAGAACTAAAGAGACAAATAAGGGCTTGAAGTTTCCAAGCTGTGGGTCCTTCTTCTTTTTCCGTATGTACTCACTAGGGAGAGGGGGCTGGTCTGTCCTGGGGGGTGGGGTTCTTGGAGGAGAGGGAGGCAACTGAAGTTTGGGAAGGATCACCTCTACAATAATTTAAATACATGTACTGAATTAAAAATTTTGATCAGAAAAGAGTTTGAAGTGTTGAGATGAATATTATTGTAATAAAATAAAAGTACATTTATGTTTTACTGTAAACCAACTTTTATTAGTGTGCGAGAAATATCTGCGAGCTTCGCGACCCACTTTCACTCACAAATATTAATTGTCACAAATATTTATTTTGCTTTGTATTTGTTTCCTATTTTGTATTTGTTTTACCTCCAGTCTCCTGTTCATGTTTTTCATAAAATTCTATCTCTCTTTTTTGCTCCACTGAAAAATTAAAATACTCAAATAAGTTATCTTCAATATTGATACAATGTTTGTAATTAATAATTTTAAATGGAACCAAACATTTTTTTTCACACAAGTAGAATGTGTATTTCTCAGGTAAATTTAATTCTCTCATATCAATGTTAATGAAAGAAAAAGTGAACAAGATCACATATCCCACGCTCCCCTAAAACTAGTTGTGCTGAAATTGCCGAAAAAAATAAAGAAATCCCAATTTTCTGGCAATATGCACATCTTCACATTGTGTCCTAAAAATCTGCAAAGTTTGACCAAATTCTGTGCAGCGGTTTATGAGAAGTTGCGCTGACAAACTGTTCATCTCTATATTCAAGGTATGGCTAAAAATCTAAGTTGAAAAGTGCCGAATTCACAGAAAAATAAAGGTCTGGAATTGAAATTTCCTGGTAAGATGCACATATACACACTGTGTACTAAATATCTGCAAAGTTTGAGCAAATTCTGTGCAGCGGTTTAAGAGGAGTTGCGCTGACTAAGAAAAAACCGGACTGATGGACTAACCGGCTGGATGGACAGGTCATAAACATTATACCTCATGCAACTTGTTACATGGGGTATAATAATAAACATATATATAGCACAAAAAATTATGAGAAACTAGTGTCATTACGATTATTATTTTATTTTAAATTTCAACTTAAACATGTTAAACTTGATCTCACCTTCAGCTACTTTAGGTAAAAGTCTGTAAACTATGTCTTGTAAAGTACTGTCATGTCTGAAGTATAGCAGAAATTAAACGAAAATCAAATGCATTTAAGATGATAAATGGATCTGTTTTCTACAATCCATGTTTTCAAACAACATTGGGTAAATTTGTAATACACTTTTTGTCTTTGATTTACCTGATGTGTACAAAAGGGTCAGTGGGGTGAATAGGAGCATCACAAGTTGGACATGTTAAGTGTCTCTCTGTGTAGCGGACAATGCAGGTCTTGCAAACTAAAAATTAAACAAAAATTCAGAAAATATTCCCATAAAGAAGCATAAAACATTGCTTCATACTGTATACAGGGAAATTTTCGCCCCGTTTTATTTTCCTCCCAATCGCCCTAACCTCGGCTGGGCAAAATTAACAAGAGGCCCATGGGCCACATCGCTCACCCGAGCAATGTGGCTAGGAAAAAGTAGAAATTGTAAACTTACAATACTATAGAAAAGTGTAAAACCAAAAGTTTGGCCCCGCCCTACCCCCGGGGGTCATGATTTGAACAAACCTGAATCTACACTACCTGAGGATGCATCCATATAAATATGAGCAATTATGGCTTTGCTGTTCTTGAGAAAAAGTTTTTTAAAAAGTTTTCCTATATATTTCTATATAAAACTTTGGTCGGCCATTGTGGCCCCGCCCTACCCCCCGGGGTCAAGATTGGAACAAACTTGAATCTACACTACCTGGGGATGCTTCCACATAAATATTAGCAATTATGGCTTTGCTGTTCTTGAGAAGAAGTTTTTTAAAGAATTTTCCTATATTTTTCTATATAAAAATTTGGTCGGCCATTGCAGCCCCGCCCTACCCCCAGGGGTCATGATTTGAACAAATTTGAATCTACACACCTGGGGATGCTTCCATATAAATATGAGCAATTATGGCTTTGCTGTTCTTAAGAAGAAGATTTTTAAAGAATTTTCCTATATATTTCTATATAAAACTTTGGTCGGTCATTGTGGCCCCGCCCTATCCCCGGGGGTCATGATTTGAACACATTTGAATCTACACTACCTGGGGATGCTTCCATATAAATATTAGCAATTATGGCTTTGCTGTTCTTAAGAAGAAGATTTTTAAAGAATTTTCCTATATATTTCTATATAAAACTTTGGTTGGCCATTGTGGCCCCCCTTACCCCCGGGGGTCATCATTGGAACAAACTTGAATCTACGCTAGTTTGGGATGCTTCCATATAAATATGAGCAATTATGTCTTTGCTGTTCTTGAGAAGAAGATTTTTAAAGAATTTTCCTATATATTTCTATATAAAACTTTGGTCGGCCATTGTGGCCCCGCCCTACCCCCGGGGGTCATGATAGGAACAAACTTGAATCTGCACTACCTGGGGATGCTTCCATATAAATATGAGCAATCATGGCTTTGCTGTTCTTGAGAAGAAGATTTTTAAAGAATTTTCCTATATATTTCTATATAAAACTTTGGTTGGCCATTGTGGCCCCGCCCTACCCCCGGGGGTCATGATTTGAACAAACTTGAATCTACACTACCTGGGGATGCTTCCATATAAATATGAGCAATTATGGCTTTGCTGTTCTTGAGAAGAAGATTTTTAAAGAATTTTCCTATATATTTCTATGTAAAACTTTGGTCGGCCATTGTGGCCCCGCCCTACCCCCGGGGGTCATGATTTGAACAAACTTGAATCTACACTACCTGAGGATGTTTCCCCATAAGTTTCATCTTTCCTGGCACAGTGGTTCTTGAGAAGAAGATTTTTAAAACATACCACCAAATCTTCACTAATTCTCAATTATCTCCCCTTGAATGAGGGCGTGACCCTTCATTTGAACAAACTTGAATCCCCTTCACCCAAGGATGCTTTGTGGCAAGTTTGGTTGAAATTGGCCCAGCGGTTCTTCAGAAGAAGTTGAAAATGTGAAAAGTTTACAGACAGACAGACGGACAGACAGACAGACAGACGGACGCCGGACAAAATGTGATCAGAAAAGCTCACTTGAGCCTTCGGCTCAGGTGAGCTAAAAAGGGGCGAATTCAAAGAATACAGTATAATTTCAAGCAAAACTGTGACTGGGCAAATTCAAATCGGGGCAAAATTGTTTGCAAATGTAAAAGGGTAAAAATAAGGCGGGGCAAAAATAACCCTGTATACAGTATTAATATCTGACAACAATGAAATGTGAACAAGTTTTAAAATATACTGTCAGCATTTAACTACAGTAATTTTGAACTGTTGGTTGTACTTGTGGGTAAAGATAAAGAGTATTATATTGTATATTTACAGGTGTGCATGCACTCTGTAATGGTGGAAGCTTCATACAGGTAACCTCCACAGAGAGCACAGGTGATGTAGGGGTTCAGCTCCCTCAGCTGTAGGATAATGGGCTCCTTACTCAGACTTGGGGCTTCTGGAAGTAGCTTAAGCTGCAAGATAATATTCGTAGCTAGAACATACCTTTAGATCCCTTTAATCCAACTGACAAAACATGGGTGTACAAATATACCTCCAATGTGTCAGCTGGTTTAGAGCAATCTAAAGACCTGTGGCTGGAACAGTGTGAGCATTCATTTCAAAAAAGAAAGTTTAAAAATTCTCAAAAATTACTGTAATCTTGATAACGTGATGTGCTTAGACATACATTGAGGGTACCTTATGACATAATAAACTTCTGATAAAAAGATATATAAACCTGTGCCTCATCCTGGATATAAATACCTGTTCCAATAAGGATGTTGGTTCAGGTGTCGTCTCTGGTTTAGATACACTTTCGGTATGGTCAGATGACAGATTTATCTTTTCTGTTTCACTAGACAGCTCATCAACTTCCTGATTTATTTTTAAATAAAAACAAATTAATAGACTGGTTCACAATAACTGTGGCACTACTCTTTTGCAGGGCAAACTGGTATATTTAAGTGAAATGTAATGTAAATTTATCATTTAATATATGTCATTAAACTATCTATCAATGAAAAAATTGTTATGAATTTGCCTTGCAAAAAAAGAAGCACTTTAATTATTTTGAAAGGGTTAATTTCCAGTCAAGATCTGAATAATATAATTAATTCTAACAGTCTTAACTTTAGGCGTTTGCAATTCTTTACATATCATATTTACATTTTCTCAGCGAGAATCGTAGGGACTAAAATTTTGGTTTGGACGCCAAAATGAAGATTAATGATATAAATTTTTAAACATGAAAATCGTTTAGATCTACTTTCATTGTAGTTTGACACAATTATTTTTTCATTACAAGCGTTAGAACTGAAATACGTTATAACTGTTTATTTATTACAAGTTCATTATCAACATCATAAGAATGAATTTTTAAAAAGGCAAAACGTTTACTAATCTGGCTAAACATTTCAGTGAAATGTTTAGTCAGATCACAGGGGCATCTGATCCCTCTGTTCTCTACTTCACGTATAAAAATACACGTGTATTTTTATATGTGAAGTAGAGAACAGAGTGGATAAGATGCCCCTGTGGTCAGATTAGAATCAGTTTCTGTGCTTATTGCAAAAATCATTTGTTTGTGCATTCGTTTGATATATAAGAGTAATCAAATCTAATCTGTTTACGGCTGAAATTCCCAATGAAAACACACAATATAGCAGGTAAATTTATGTAAAACTGTATCGAAACATTCAACACTCACAGTGGCAGCCATTTTGAAGGTTTAACCGAACTTGTCCATAAGATGAATTTCAATTGGATAATAGGGCGGAAGTTCAGAATTTTATCCAATCAGGTGCATTTTGACAATTAGTCATAAAATGTTGTGAAAATGGTGAGTAAACACGTGGGAATGAAAAATTACAGCTTTTCTTTATAAACTAAGCTAAACTTTTTGAAAAATTACTAATCTAAAGATTTATTTATGTAAAGTTATATTCATAAATCACATCACATTACCGCTCTGTCATAATTATTTTTGTTTTTCCTATGGCATGAAAGAAAAAAGGAAAGGGGGGGTTAAATTTGTACTACTTTTACTATGAAATAATAAAAAAAGATTTCAAGTTGGTATTTGTACATTGTATCAGAATTAACATGAGCTCTAGAGCTCATTAACCTTCTATCACAGCTAAAATACCACTGAAATAACAATAGTCAACAAAATTAAGCATGCAAAAAAACATTCAGTTACATATGTAACACACAAATAGTGAATTATCATGTATTCTCGTCGACAGTTCCATTTTATGTTGCAACAGTTGCTAAATGCCCAAACTATTATCATTTTTAAAGCCTTAAGCATGGGTTTCAAAAGTAATGAATTGATTTTTAGACGGTGGCTATTTATAGCCACAGGCTATAGCTGCTGGTCTGTGTAAACACACAGGGACCCTAGCGGCGATTTTTGCAAAGTCAAAATAATGAAAGTAGACTGATTTCAATGTTTGAACTAAAATGTACATAGGTAACAAATACATTGAAGTTATTTTAAAGACATTTCGTTGATGGATACAAAGCCTAACTCCTGATCATTGCCGTTATCAGTATTTCTCGCCTCATGAATATTCATTACACTGAACTAAACTAACTCGTACACCAACCGACTCGTATATTCGTGTGCAAACTACACATGTCAACTCGTACACGAATTTCTCGTTTTTTCTTACATGTTCGAAAAATCATTTTCTAAAATTACCGAATATTTGTTGAAAAATATAACTCTGAAATCAAATGCTAGTAATAAATAATTGCTAAACAACACACGGCTGTTTTTTTTACTGAAATACTGCTTTGTGGATTTTTTAAAAAATAAAAATTGGATAGTTTAATGTAATTTAACAAAGACTTTTGATTGTTTCTTGTATCTGTTTTCAATGCTATATTACTAAAACGAAGATATGTATTCTAGGAAAGAAGAAAAAAAAATCACTACATCTTAATCAGTTCGTAGTGACGGTTGTTGGAGGTAAATGATGCCATAAAATTTGCTATGTTTATCATCATTTTAGTTTTTGAAAATAAGACTTTGTTTGATTATCTCGGACACAAAAACGACTTAACGTGTAATTTGTCAAATTTATAATTACAAAGGCTATAACAGACACAATTTACCCATATATTTCATTCCTATTTATTAGATACTCTAGTGTGCCTCTAATAAATTTAACCGAAAATATACGAAAAAGGAACTCAAATACGTGTGCATGAATTAATACTAGTATTAGGATTTTTATGTGATTTTAGCTGAATCATATAAAAAGGAATGTGGCTTTGGACTGAATATCGGTCAGTCTTCTAGTGTGTTCATCAAGCAGTAAATATGCACTTGGACTCGCAGGGACGTTGCATATTAGAATATTACGTATGAGAAATAACATAATCGCAAACCACGGCGAAAACTTATAAGATATTCAATTCTGGGGAAAGCTCCATACGTATATATACAGACTCTGATCGTGACTTGAGACGACGGAAAATAGAGACAGAAAAATATTTTGTTATTCTGTTTTTTTCTCTTTTTTCGAGCAGTATACGAGGGTTGTCGTGTACAAAGCGTTTTTTCTCGTAAAATAGTGGGCACTGCCATATTAAATTTTTAACAAGTATTTTATCATATTTTAATGTATCTGAATTCTTTTTATACACTTTAGACAAAAAATGATACTTTATCAACATGCTTTAATGTTACACACGATAAAAACCCCGGTTATGAAAATAATACGAGTATTGTTTCTAAATAAAAGTCTTCAATAGATTTTGGTCTGGAAAGCAGTTCAGTTTTTTCCTCTTTAGTGTAATAGAGAAATGGGAGTTTTCTAAGATAATTGTTTTAATCAAATCCAAGGGTAGAACAAACAGCTACAGAAATAGCGAAAGGCGCTGACAATGTTGATAGCCAAAATATGTATAAGATTATTTAGTTGAATGATAGCAAAAATATTTATCCATAACTTTAGTACTAATAAATCTTCACAAGGCCCCTTTTGTGTGCGATATTTGATTCTGACTGTTTTTTTTTGAAGAATTCAGGGAAACTCAAATATGTGCATCAATGATATTCCTTGATTTAAGTTGGAATTATCTAACATGTTTTTATCAAAGAGGAAACTTGACGCTGCTTTAGACACTTTGACATTATCATCCGTAACACATTAAATGAAATCTTATAATTTGCAATTGTTTATTTATAAATGCATATACCTATTTGAAGTTTGCTGTTTTTTTTATGACAAAAATACTTAAGATAGTGCGTAAACATTCTAGATTACAGTGAGAATTCATCACAATTTACTTTTTAGTACAAAAATATAAATTTATATATTAGAATACAGGTAGATATTTTGTGAAAAATCGGAATAAAATTTAAAATAATTCCCAATTCATTTTACAAAAACTTAAAATGTTTTATCTTATTTACTGCAAGTCGTCATCTGACGTTACGGTAGCGGGTTTGCTTTGGACTCACGAACTTGTACATGTAGTTCTCGGGACAAGCCGTTAAACCGGGTCCGTAGGACATTTATCATTTTAACGATAGATCATTCTATCTAACGGACTTGAAGAAGTCCATCCTTACGTAGCGGATTCGACTCCCACTGCGTGACATGGATATTGGCCTTTAATTCAGATTAAGATCCCGTGTCGCAGTAATTGCTAGCCAGAAAAATTAACAAAATCATTCATGCCACCGTCTTTCAGTACTCACAGTACTTTGATTTTTTTATTTGTAGCCACAGTCATTATTTGTTTTGTATGAGCATGCCTCCGGGTATGGCCTATTCCGAGTTAAGGAGTTTGAAGAGGTGGCTACATTTATTCCGGTGGTGGAGAAGAGTACAGTTGATGTCAGCAAATTCCAGTCCATCGTCAAGCTGGTTGCCTTTGCACCATTTAAGAGTGGAACCAATGCACTCGATAACATGAACAGTATCTCGGAAGGTAAACACTAAACAGGTCATTAAAAAATGCTTGCTTGTACATTCTGGGTAATTTTGCTTAATATTTTGAACATTTATTTATTCTTTCATGTGAATTTGTCGAATCTGATTTGCGGAGAAACACTTTTAGATCCATAAGAGTATTGACATAATTTGACTGTGAAGAATCCATGCACCTCAGTCCACTCTTATAATAGTATTTAGTTGTACAGAATATTAAGTGTATTACAGTTAATATTGCATAAAGTTGAGGGTATAACCTTAAAAAATTTCACTTCAAGAAAACCATTAAATTAAATTGTCAACAGAGGGGTAGCCCCTTGGTTGACTTTGATTCTTTGGGTGAAAACTTTCAATTTACCCTTGAACCACATGCAATATTTATATAATAAACCATAATTATTTATTTTTCATTAGGTTAGTAGGTTATTATATCCCAGTGGAATTTTGGCAATTGGTCTCAATGTGCAACCTGTTAATGGAATTTGAAAATCTCTAGTCACTTTGACGGTATCAAAGATTACTGTATATGTACAATTATATCATGTTAAAGGGGTTCTTCATGAGGATCTACATGTTTTCCTGGAGTCCAATGTTCCCAAGGGAGGAAAGAAAGACAAAGTGGTTTTGGGGGTTGCAGATGCTAAAATAGGAGCTGCCATCACAGAAGAGCTTGGGATTAAGTGCACTCATATTGGGGTGGTTCCAGAAGTGATCAGAGGTATTGTGTTTTGTAAACACAAAGACAAAAGTTGAGATTAAAAAAATTAAGAGCTGATATACATGTTAAGGGTTAAACTTGTTTGGTTTATGGGTTAAAAGAATTTGTTTCTGACTGTTTAAACAAAAACCTTATTAATTTTAGAAGTGTATATTTTATTGGAACTGAAAATGTTGTCTTGTTTTGTAACAGGAATACGACTTCACTTCCCAAACATGGTAAAGGGCCTAACAGAGGTGTCTTCAGCCAAAGCTCAACTCGGTCTGGGTCACAGCTACTCCAGGGCAAAGGTCAAGTTCAATGTCAATAGGGCGGATAACATGATCATCCAGAGCATCAGCTTAATGGACCAGCTGGACAAGAATATCAACACATTTTCTATGAGGATGAGGTAAGTCAATAGTGCTTTTCTCCATTCAAAGAGAGTAAGGTTTATTCGGTTTTGCGTATTTGTGCAAGTATTTTTGTCAAAATTAAATTTTTTTGTTTGGGTTTGATAACTAATGGTAAAATTTAAATTTTGGCAGGAAAAATAAACAGGAAAGAAACCTTGAGATTAATATTTTTTTGAAGGGAGATGTAGAGGGGTTGAAAATTAGCTAACTTAGTACATATTTAATTCAAAGTCATATACTTTTGAGGTCTACTGTGTGATCCTATCATTTAGTACACTTATAAGAGATGTTCTAAGAAACAGTAATGTATGCATTTCGAGAAAAAAGGATTTAATAATGTTTGATTCTGTTTCAGAGAGTGGTACTCGTATCATTTCCCAGAACTGGTAAAAATCATCTCGGACAATTACTTGTATGCCAAGGTGGTCAGGTTGATTGGGAACAGGAAGGAGTTTACTGATGAGTCCCTGGAACAGCTGGAGGAACTCGTGATGGACAGCGGCAAGGCTCAGGCCATACTGGACGCCAGCCGATCATCCATGGGTCAGCAGGGATTTTTTTCTTTGAATTAATTTTAAAATCTTTTAGTGAACTAAGTACTTGTATTCTTGATGTTTCCCATTATTTACAATTTGTGACTTTGAAATCAATCTGCAAATATTGATTTATATGACCTATTAGTATTCTCTACAAATATAATGCAAAATAAATAATACATGTGTTTGCAAGTTTAAGAACGTTGCGAAAACTCAAGGATATTTCTCACAGGCAAATAAAAGTTGGTTTATAGTACATGTGTATTATTAGAAATTGCTGGTGCAAAGTAAATTTTTTTCAAGAAACATTTTTCATCACACACCATTTTGCCATGGTTTTACTGTGTAGCTAAAATTAGCCGTCATGATTTTCAATTCACAGGAATGGATATCTCCCCAATTGATCTGATGAACATTGAGGCCTTCACTGCTAAAGTGATTTCATTAACAGAGTACAGGAAAGGACTGGCTGACTATCTCAGGAGCAAAATGAAAGCCGTGGCTCCTAATTTGGGAACTCTCATTGGTGATCAGGTCAGAAATAAACCAGAAGAAGTCAATAGACATTTTGTAGAAGCCTACTATTTTTGTTTATACACAATGTACAGTAGCAAAATGCTTTCTTGAATTGTCAACACTTAAAAATTATCTAATTTAAATGAGAGTGACTTTGGGTATTTTAATAAACAAAATTTATGAAATGATCATCTTTGTAAAGAAATATTAAAATTGATAAAGCTTGTTCTGTTTTGGTATTGGAATATCACTATAGTATAATTTATGTCTTCTTTACTGCAGGTTGGGGCTCGCCTGATTGCACATGCAGGCAGTTTAACAAATCTGGCCAAATATCCAGCATCTACAGTGCAGATTTTGGGAGCTGAAAAGGCACTGTTTAGGTACTGTTAGCACAAGGACAAGATTTAATCTCAAAAGATATAAAATGAACAGATTAAAAAGTTTTTTTTTTTTTTTTTTTTTTTTTTTCTCTCTTTTATTAAAACATGGTACATAAATAATTCATTGTACACAAAAAGCATAATACATTCATTTCATATCTATTTGAACATCAAAATCACAAGTAATTGCCTATTTCTAGATATAAATTATCATTAATTACATGAGCCTTCCTTAGAATTACGTTTTGTAGACAAAGACAATTTTTTATCTTATTTCGAAAAATTTCTGTATACATATTTTCTTTTTCAAATCTACATTTCATTTTATATTTATAAATGTTAAAACATATAAATGACAATAAATTATTCAATCTCGTTGTTTTTGAATTGATTTCGTTATAAAAACCTAGTACAAGTATTTTCCATGTGACTTCAAAACCCAAAAATAAACTAATTTTTTTCCATATATTTTCACAGAGTTTACATTTGTACAAGAGATGTTCATTGTCGTCAACAACCATACAATATTCACAATAAGGTTCTACATCTTTGTTCCATTTACTTACATTTAGATTGTTATTCAATATGCAATTCAGCAATTTATAATTGAATTCAGCAACATTTTTTTCATACATATACTTAATTTTAGCTAGATATACATTTTTCCAGATATATTTGTAACTAAGATCGAAAGTCTTTTGCCACATATTTTCATAAACTGATCTTTGAAATTTAATGTTTACCAGAATTGAATAATAAAAATCACATTTAAGATTTTCTAGAGTTCTTACGCTATTATCTCTAAATAAAAATGACACTTGGTTTTTAATATTAACAAATTTGGCATATGTACAATCAAAATTGTTTTTGTATTCCCTGAGTACTTTTTTTATCATGATATATTCACAAAATATATTGTTTTTCTTTTCCAGTATATTGTAAAAGTGTTCAATACTAGAAAGTTTCCATCATTATCAAAAAGATCTTTGATATATAGAATATTACTTTTTATCCAGTTTTCAAAACAAAGAGGTTTAGAATCATACTGAAATAAATTATTGTTCCAAATGAATTCTGATAAAAATTGGTCTCTCTTTAAAGTACAAATTTGTTTAACTTTTTTACATTTATTGAAAGCAGAAAGGACCTCACCATAAAAAAGTGGTATTCTTATCATCTTAAAAAAATCATTATTTTCAAAGTTACATACACTTGTTTTAACAATATCATTAACTGATAGGTTTTTAAGATTAAGAATATTGTTCAACATCTTACATATTATATTTTCTTTATCTAATAATCGTTTTATCCAAGAGGCTTTTGCTGCAGTAAATTTACTCTCTATATCAACAATACCTATTCCACCTTGGTCAACTCTACCGATTAGCGTATTTCTTTTTATCCTATCTTTTTTCTTCCATATAAAATTATATACAAGTTTTGATACTTTTTTAAAGAATTCTTTTTTTGGATTTGATAAAATAAAAGCATTATATACCAATTTAGATAATGCTAGTGTATTAATTATGGTACATTTTCCGAAGATTGTTAAGTTTCGCCTTCTCCAAACACTCAGTATTCTTTCAAGTTTCTCCAATTTATTTGTCCAGTTCATATCATAACAAAAATCCTTATCATGGCCGAGATATATACCTAATGATTTTACATGGCTTTTAGCAATTTTTACACCAAAAATATGATTTTCATTTAAATACCTTTCAATAAATTTTCCTGTTAATAAACATTCTGTTTTGTCCAAATTCAATTTCGGGCCTGCGACTTTGCTAAATTCACGTATTGTTTCTAAAGCTTTTTTCATTGAATTAGTGTCTTTCAATAGATTAGTGCAATCATCTGCATGTTGAACGATTTTTAAATTTCCATTATCACCTGGCGATAAACCTATTATTTCTTCATTATTTTTAAGCTGAACTGCTAGTATTTCTAGCACAAAAATAAATAAAAGCGCTGATACAGGACAGCCTTGTCTAATCCCTCTTTGCATTTCACATGATTTTGACATCCAGCCATTATTTTTAACTTTAAAAGTTGGTTTGAAGTATAATGTCTTTATCATCTTGATAAAGTTTTCTCCAAAATTAAATTTTTCTAAAGTTTTGTACATGAAGTTATATTCAACAGAATCAAAAGCTTTTTCAAAATCAAGAAAGAGCAAAATACCATCAATATCATTATTTGTACAATATTCAAATATGTCTAATATTATTCTTGCGTTCTCCCCAATGTATGTACCTTTAATATAAGCACTCTGTTCACTACTAATTATTCAGATTAAAAAGTTTCTTTAGGACTGTATTTCCTCTTTGAATTTCCTGCCAAAATATGGTTGAAATATTGCTGACTCAGCATTAAACAATATACAATCAATTTCTTTTTTGAATTTTATTTTGCATCTACGATACTTTATTTAGTAGAGTTGAATCTGTAATTATGCTTGTGTGGTTTTCCAATAAAGGTTAGACATTATAATGATTTTTAACCCTCTGAAATAAAATTGTAGGGAATTATCAATATGCTGGGTACATACTATCGTGCACTCTTTCGATGCTGCATTTGACTGACATTCATTTTATATCTATAGATTAAGCTTATCATTTAGATTGATTTTGAGTTTTCTCAAAACCAAATTTAATCACAAACATACCTAGTACACATGCAATAAATGTAAAACTATCTAAATAGTTGACTGATTGCTTTCAAAGGGCCATTAAAACCAAGGGAAATACTCCCAAGTATGGGCTTATCTTCCACTCCACATTCATTGGTCGAGCTGCAGCCAAAAACAAAGGGAGGATTTCCAGATACCTAGCCAACAAGTGTTCCATTGCCTCACGCATTGATTGTTTCTCAGGTGAGGAAATATCAGATGAAAGTTAAATTATACAAGTTTTACTTACCTTTATTCAGCAATTTTGAGCTTACTTGAACGGGATATCAAGTGAGCTATTCTGATAAAAGTTTGTGTAAGTTGTAGTTTTAGATCACATTAGCCAAAGACTTAAATGAGTTTTTCTGATCAAAGGGTGCCCTGCATCCATCTTTTTAGCTCACCTGAGCCAAAAGCTCAAGTGAGCTTTTCTGATCAAAATTTGTCCGTTGTCGTCGTCGTTGTCGTCGTCATCGTCGTTGTAAACTTTTCACATTTTCATCTTCTTCTCAAGAACCACTGGGCCAATTTCAACCAAACTTGCTACAAAGACGTATCCTTGGGTAAAGGGGATTCAAGTTTGTTCAAATGAAGGGCCACGCCCTATTCCAAGGGGAGATAATTATGAATTAGAGAAAAATTAATGGCATTTTTCAAAAATCTTCTTCTCAAGAACCACTGGGCCAGGAAAGATGAAACTCATGTGGAATCATCCTCATGTAGTGTAGATTCAAATTTGTTCAAATCATGACCCCTGGGGGTAGGGTGGGGCCAAAATGGCCGTTCAAAGTTTTATGTAGGAATATATAGGAAAAATCTTCTCAAGAACCACTGGGCCAGAAAAGATGAAATCATGTGGAATCATCCTCATGTAGTGTAGATTCAAGTTTGTCCAAATCATGACCCCGGGGGTAGGGTGGGGCCAAAATGGCCGATCAAAGTTTTACATAGGAATACATAGGAAAAATCTTTAAAAATCTTCTTCTCAAGAACCACTGGGCCAGAAAAGATGAAAGTCATGTGGAATCATCCTCAGGTAGTGTAGATTCAAGTTTGTTCAATTCATGACCCCCGGGGGTTGGGTGGGGCCAAAATGGCCGATCAAAGTTTTACATAGGAATATATAGGAAAAATCTTTAAAAATCTTCTTCTCAAGAACCACTGGGCCAGGAAAGATGAAACTCATGTGGAATCATCCTCATGTAGTGTAGATTCAAGTTTGTTCAAATCATAACTGCCGGGGGTAGGGTGGGGCCAAAATGGCCAATCCAAGTTTACCATAGGAATATATAGGAAAAATCTTAAAAATCTTCTTCTCAAGAACCATTGAGACAGGAAAGATGAAACTCATGTGAAATTAACCTCAGGTAGTGTAGATTCAAGTTTGTCCAAATCATGACCCCCGGGGGTAGGGTGGGGCCAAAATGGCCGATCAAAGTTTTACATAGGAATATATAGGGAAACCTTTTAAAACCCTCTTTTCAAGTACTTCAAATCCATGCTTAGTGATATCTATATGGAATCATCCTTAGGTAGTGTAGATTCTAGTTTGTTCAAACCATGACCCCCCCCCCCCCCCCCCCCCCCCCCCGGGAGGTTAAAATTCAAGCCCTTCAAGCCCCCCCCCCCCCCCCCCCCCCCCCCCACCCAGTAAACTTTCAGTTCTGATCTGATATGTGCTTTTTCCTAGCAAATTGCTCAGGTGAGCGATGTAGCCCCTGGGCCTCTTGTTTGTGTACTTTTCACATTTTTGACTTCTAGAGAATCACTTGGCCAATTTCAACCAAACTTGTCACAAAGCATCTCTAGGTTAAGGGTATTCATATTTGCTCAAATGAGGAACCACTCCTTCTTTCAAGAGATAGTTAAGAATTATTGAAAACTTAAAGACATCTTTAAAATTCTTCTCAAGAACTGCTGGGCCAAAAATATGAAACATACCTGAAAACCTCATGTTGTAGCGTAGAATTGTTTTAATTTGTTTTGTTTATCCAACATATTTTTAGGGAAAATTATGAAATTTTTTATTGAAATCATTGTAAAAATTTCCTGTAAAAATGTTATATTTGCATGATACTGTAAATCACTTTTTATTCGCGAGGACTTTATTTTCGCGTAATTACGTGAGACAGTATGCTCGCGAAAATTTCATTCTCGCGTATAATAGAATTCCTTAAGATTTTATAGAGCAATGACCACAATTCGTGAAAATTTTGTCTAGCTTATAAAAAGTCAATGACTATCTCGCGAAAATAAGGTGTCGCGAAAATTAAGTGATCTACAGTATTTTGGGGGAATATTGTGATATATTGCAGTATGAAATTTTCAGCAGTATACATTTCTACTCTGATTACAGCCATTTGATTAATGACTAATTTCTTCTTTCTATTTCTAAATGTAGAGATCCCTACTCAGGTATTTGGGGACCATCTAAAACAGCAAGTGGAGGACCGCCTTAAGTTTTTGGATACGGGGGAGGCACCTCAGAAAAACATTGACGTAATGCATGAAGCAGTGCAAGAGGTGAGCCCTGGTAGTTTTTATTGAAAACAGTAAAGGAGAGAGGTCTTCATGATGAGTATTGAAGTAGTTCTTCAGATTTTACAAACAGATTCACTGATAGATAATAATTTCCATGTTTTATTCATGGTGTACAAATGCAGTTCTGTTAAATGATATTTTTCTAAGTAGCATTGCTACTTAAGAAGAAAATACTGAATCTTGAAACTAATGTTGCAGGCAGCAGTTGTTCAGGCTAAAGTAGCAAAGAAAGAGAAGAAGAAAAAGAAGAAAGAGAAGAGGAAGTCCTCAGCTGATGATACCCTAGATACGACACAGGAGGCGGATACCACACAGGAAATGGACATTTCACAGGAGGAGCCCAAGAAAAAGAAGAAGAAGAACAAGAGAAAGTCTGAGGGTGAGGGCCTGGATACCACCCAGGAGATGGACACCACCCAAGAGGAGGAGCCACCCAAGAAGAAGAAGAAGAAAAAGCCCAAGGTGGAGGCTGAGGAAGAAGAGTCGGAGGAGGAGGTGTCAAAGAAGAAGAAAAAGAAGAAGAACAAGTAATGGTTTTAAGATGAGAAGTATGCTCTCTGACCAGGGAAAAAATATATTGTACATCTTACTTAAATGATGTAAATGATTACTTAAGTAATGGTTTTTTAGAGGAGAAATGTTTTCTCTAATCTGTGAGAGAACAGATTCGTACAGCTTACCAATTTAGGTTTAAACCCATAGTAACATGGAGGAGTCTTCTTTTTAGACATTTTATCGGCTTCATTTTGTTGAAGATGTGCTAATTTTATAAAGATAATGCTTGATTGGGTACATGCTGTTATAGTATATTCTGTGTTTACTTTGGTTACAGTCTTTTTGTTTTAATATGATGAAATGTTATTGTTAAGATCAAGCAATAAAAAGAACTTTAATAGTAACTGTGCAGTAAAGTGTAATGTTACATAGTTAGGAAAATTTCTTGAAATCAGTTAGATTTTTAAAAAAAATCTGTCCATTCTAGATGCTCACTTAGGCTCTCCAAGTGTAATTTTCCTGTTGTTTTTCATTGGCACTTAGAATATCAATTTTCAGTGTCTCTAAATTGATGTCACTAGATTATTTCTGAGAAGATTTTTTCCTGAAATTTGGGTCTTGTGCAAAAAAACAATGTACTGTAAAAACTTAAATTTTCTTGGGCTATTGTCAATATAAAATTATAAATTTATTTCCTTGATTGTTCTGCAACACACTTATCAAAAGTCATTGTAAAAAAATAAAAATAAATGAAGGGTTCATTTAAATTTCCTATTTTTTGAATGCACTTGTTGTGAGGTTTTATGAATGTTTGTAAAACTGATGTAAACAATTATGTAAATGGTAACAAATTATAAATGAAAAATTTTCAGATGTTCAGCTTTATAATTTAACAGGAAAGAACCTCTAAACAATACAATTCTGGGAAAAGGACATAATCTCATTAGAGTTAGTTATGTATTGAATATGATGCATTCTTAGTTTCAGGAAATGGACAGGGAATAGGAAATTAAAGCTTAAAAGCTGCAGACAAAATAACCCACAATGAAGTTCATTTATAGAACTTGGAGAGGGATTTTGAGTGTTGAGGGTGCGAAAGACTTTACAGGGAACTTGGGGATTTAAAATAAAATGAATGTTCCTAACTCCATCAAATAAGAATTAGCGGTATGTCGATATAAAAGTGATAAAAGGAGTTCTTGAAATTTTCCCAAATATATTTTTTCACTACTAGAATTTTTTTTCACGATTTAATACATGGAAGAAATTCATTTTCTTAAGCAGGTGTAAAATTTGGCGTTTTGCTAATCAAGGGTATGCCATTAACTTTGGTGGACACATGAATATAATTTATACATGTAATTGCCTTAAAATTATAGTAGTAATTAGTATGAAATTGTCTGTCAGCAAATGACTCGATTCAATTCAATAGTTTATTCTCTTAAACTGCACTACAGTGTAGAGAAGATACAAACATGAAATAGGTACAATACAATATAATATGCGTCAGAAAAATTAAACAAACGATGAAAAATGACAGTGTCATAAATGTTAGTTACTTCATGTTGAATTGTTTTTGCTGATACAACATTCTTTCAATCGTAAAACTTTGAATATGATGACTTCAAACAACATTGTTGAAATTCAGCTATTTTTGCCAGAAAGGATCACTTCATTAAAAATAGGGATCGATCTGACCTATAGGACCGGGCTTGGTTTTTTTCTCTACAAAAAGCTTGTCGAATCCGTTCCGATTAATGACATTAGGCCAAATACATTTAACAATTTGTTTTTTTCCTAAATCTTTATTTCAGTGAGTAGAGGTAGAAGAATTCTTTTCATTGATTTTCTTAGTTTGTTATCTCCAAATGTAACATTGATATTTGTCTTTACTTCTCATTGTGCATGATGGTAATGTCTACTGTCTCTGAAATTCTATTCTTTATGTCTAGACTATGTATCCGTGGATATAATAAAAAAAAATGCCATTAATGTGTGCAAATTATATAGGCTTAAATGAAATCCAAGGGAATACAGTTACTGATATATGTAGCCAAAATCAATGTGATTAAATTCAAAGGAATATATACAATTGAAATTCGACGCAGCTCAATGCTGTCAAGAATACCTGTATCAAATAACACAGAGTGAGTTACTCTTGTCCGCGGAGAAAGTGTGCTAAACTGAGGTTTGTTCTGCCTGACTGACAACTGTACATATGATTGTTACGATTTGACATCTCTTTAGTTTTTCTTGTATCAAGAATGGGCATGCATAAATGATAGATAATTGAAGGAAAATAAATAAGTCTATTAAAAAAAATTAAATTGTCTTTGAAAAGGCAAAATTTAAAACTTTAAAAGTATGGTGCCAGGTGGATTCGAACCCGCGACTTTAAAAAGAAGCACTTCATGGAGTAAAACCAACTCACAAATCAACTGAGCTAGTCCGTCTATAACAAGATTTGGTATAAATTTGAAGCAGATTTTCAAAATCAAGTTTCCTTATTTTTTTTTTGTAGGTTTTTTTGGAAATTTCGACCCTAGGGCAGGGGTGCCCCTAAAAAAATCCTATCTTAAATCATTCCTTACATCATAACCTAATATTAAAATATCACAATTTTATTTAGGGGCAGGCCTGCCCTGAAGGACTTCTAGGCCAAAATTCATGCAAAAATCAACACTTTAACTGACAAAATGGTGTTTCAGCCAACTTTGGAGGCTTAATGTAAAGTTGTAAATAATAAATTTTAGGTATAAAATACAAATTTGAAAAATTTAGACAAATGTACGATAGAAAACAACAAATAAAGATTAATATTTAAATGTCACTTTTTCCGGGAAATTGTTCTCTCCTATAGGTCAATTCTTTTGTCGAAGCGAATACATCCTTTAAATGGAAATTAAACTTATCACTTAATCAAACCAAATGTGTACAGAACTGTCAGTGTCATAGGCGAGTTAACGTTGAATGTAAGGAAAATATGGAGAAAAACAAAAATAGTGGCCCTATAGTCCATTGAAACGATTTAGGGGCAGTATAAACAGTAACCCCTTTAAAAATCAGAGGTGGGATCAGCTGCCATGGAGGATTAATCATCCCCTGCCGACCGGTTACAACCGCCTTGCGCCTTGTCATGATCGCGCAGACAGAAACAACCGTAGACAATTCAGTGTATATATAAATAAAAGTCAAATCTACAAATATTGTACTGAAAACATATTAGATAAATTTAAACCACAGACAAATTCAACTGTTTGGGGTTTGTGCAGTCAGTTGTGTAGGTATTGCTGACAATTGCCAAATCGTTCGTTAATCCTTTTCTCGATGACTCGCGTTCAGGGGAGCCTACAATTTCAATGTACTTTGGTATGGTTTTCTCCAGTGTTGGTTCGTCTTTCTGTGAAAAGACATTGCCATTTGACTGACACGGTTTCGGGCCTCCACTGTCGCGGGCATCTTTTGTTCATTTTCAATGTAATTTTCAATGTCTGCGTATGGTGGATCCCTTTGTTCAGGTGGTGTTTCAGCTCTTGATCCAATTTTCAAATCTTTTGATTCTTTGCCGTGGATAACGTCGTATGATCTTAGCTGTGGGTTCCCTTTTGGATAAATATCCTGGTTGTGCCCTGCAGTACCATTATTTTTGAAGCATTTATATCGGATCTGTGTAATTACCAACACAGCAAACAGGAGTAAGAACAACCCACAGAATATAAAAATCCCTAACAAGAGGGGGCTATTCCCCAAGATGAGTTCATCTAACAGAGTTTTAGTCAAGCCACTCTGGGAGTTTACTATGATTGCGCACGCGTGCTGCTAGTTTCTCCGGAGATGAGAGCAGACGTTGTTACCACTTCCGGGCTAGATTCATAGGCGCTTGGTTACAGGATGGCCGGTGTATTTTGTGTATTATGTGTTTTTCTAGGTGTGTCTGAATACCCTCATCAAAATAAAAAATAAAAATTCGCCGAAATTAGCACGTTTTAAATATGTCATATTCACTGTATATAAAAAGACTAAAGGAGCGCCACTCGCCATCTTGAATCAAAGGGGGTGCTTTGGTTCACAGTTGATTTTAATCAATATCTACATTTTTCCTACCGGTTTCGGACGAGATGTAGCCTCAAAAATGATTGAATAACACCTTTCAAACGTCTGCCGATTTGAACCTGCCGTATAAAACATGCAGTAAACCCAAAACGTCCTCTATACCAAGTACAGAAATCGAAAGCAACGTAAGTGCCGATTTCTAACGATGAAAAATGTAGAGAGGTCTCGGAATTACACGGAAAATCTAGAGAGAACAAGTTTGGCGCGATTTCTGACTTTTCTAGATTTTTCATGTATTTCCCGGACGCCTATAAATTTTACCTAGTCGAAATCGCCACTTCCGTTGCTTTCGATAAACAGGTGCAAGAATCGAGGACGTTTCGGTTCACTGCTTGTTTAAAACGGCATATGTAGGTCAACAAATGATAGGGAGTTGTCATTCAATCATTTTTGAATCTAGATCTCACCGACAACGGTAGGAAAAATGTAGATATAGATGAAAATTTAGTGTGAACCGAGTTACCCCCTGATTTTCAAGATGGCGAGTGGCGCTCCTTTACTCTTTTTATATACAGTAAATATGACATTTTTTAAAACGTGCTAATTTCGGCGAATTTTTATTCTTATTTCGATGAGGGTATTCAGGCACACATAGAAAACCACATAATACACAAAATACACCATCCTGTAACCAAGCGCCTATGGCTAGATTTTGTACTCGCGGTGGAATATACGGTGGTTGCTGTTGAACTCTTTTCTAATTCTTTTTGAGTTGTTGCCAGATTTTTCTCTGTTGTGTCCACTTAACAAAAATCAAATAAGTACATTAGAATGATTTTGAAACATGATTCCATTCTTTGCAATCACAGCATCTCTAAATGTGAATAGTTCCCTCTCCCTTCCCCGTATAAAATGTAAAGTGGAATTGATACCTTCTGTTGATATTGGCATACAGCCGTATGAGGGACTACAAAATTCGGTTTCACTACAAGAGCAGTGGGACTGACAGTCCTTTCCATAACTCGGATGACGACACGGCGTGGAACAATTGGTTCCTGAATACCCGATAACACAACCTGGAGAAGATTTTTATCACATGTTAATTAAGGAGGAATATATGTGTTATTAGTATCATAACTAGAGCAAAGCTCGTTGCAAAGCAACGAGAAGGTCTTCCGTCCTGTTTTGACCGGAAGTGACGTCAGCAAAAAGAAAGCAATTAATGAGCTTAGTCGTCTCCCGTCACTTTATAATTTCAATTTTGCATCAAAACCTTAAATAATAAGCTATTTTTGGCTACTTCCGGTTTGACCAGAAGTGATGTCAATGGAAGGAAAATTAAGTTTTGTGCTTCCTGTGATACATGTTACCCAAAAACTTGTCAAGAACAGCAAAAATATGCATTTTCTGACTACTTCCGGTTTGACCGGAAGTGACGTTGCCGGGCGCATTTTGACGACTTCATTAGATTAAGCTTGACATTTTGAACAACATTGCTTCTTGGATGTATTACAAATTCCCAATACTTTTTGAGATATCTGGAAAACACTTTTGGCCCTTCTAGATCCCTTAATTTAGGGGTCAGCCCTTTTTTCGAGATATCATTTGAAAGATCTTGTAATTTTGCACAAAATTTGTTCTATATATTTTAACAAAATATTTTTAGTTTAGAAGATAAAAAGCAAAATATGTGTAAATTTTCGCTCTTTTAGGCGTTCTAATTTTTGACCCCTATATAGCACCATTTTGAATAAAGAAATCGAAAAACAAAAACCACTATGCACAACTTCAATCCTTCTATTTTCTAAAATCAGTAGAATTTTTGCTCCAGCTTTAGCCGTCTCTGAGCCTTTGTCTGGAAATGAAAGCCTATAAATTTTCGTTTAAAGGGAAATAACTCAAAACCGGAAGTGACTTTTTGAAATTTTAGATAGCATTCTGATAGAGTTTAGTAACGTCTATCAACTCTGAAAATTTGAGCAAAATCCATCAAGAAATGAGGGAAATATGAGGCCTCAAAGTTGCCGTCTAGGAAAAGGAAAAAAAAAGAATAATAAGAATAATCTTAATCATCAGAATCAGTAGAAGGTCTTCCGTTGGAAACGGAAACCTTAATGATCAAAGATTTTAATCAGAGATAATTTCTTAGTTACAGATTTTATGATAGAATCATGCACAGCTTACTGATGCATTTTCCTCTTTCGTTGTCCCAAATCTTATCTGGACAACACACTAAGTTTGGGTCGCTGAAAGAAATAAGATAAATATTTTTTTATGTTCCCAAGGTCGAATATACATGGGTATATAGTTTTTGCCTAGGACATTCGTCTGTCTGTCTGTCTATAGACAAAAATTTACCTTTTACTTTTTATTGGTTCGAGTTATGGCTTTCATGTTTCAGGTGTATATTCCTTGTGACAAGACCTTTCTTTGGATACCAACACATGTTTGATCTCTTGATATTGGAATTTGACCACCTTTTGCAAATATTTACACAACTTTAACCTGAACATTTTTAATTAAGTATTCAGAATAAAATTTTAATTTGTGAAAGTGCAACGAGGTGTAGATTAAAGCCGTCCAGAAATTCGAAGTTTCAATAACTTCGAGATGAAAAAATGTATTTGTTTAATTTTCGTGTGAAATGACTTTGCATTATATAAGTCGTGATATTATGCAGAAAATTTGAAACAATATCAACTTCAAATGTGTGTCTATGCACCTTTAACATCATTCTCATTTCTGGCATTTCAGAAATAACTTGATTTTTTAAGGTTATGACCAAGTTTCAAGTTTTGTAAACTTTTGCAAAAGTGGGTCAGACTCCAAGGTCAATGTCAGAAGGTAAAAAAACATGTATGTTTGTAATAGAAGACATGCATTTTTACTAGGAATACACATGTGAAATATTAAAACCAATTAAAGGATTTGCGAGAATTTACCAGCGAGAAAGACAGACAGACGGACAGAGCAAAAATTTGTGTGCCCCTGAATCTTTGATTTCGGGTACATAAAAGTTTGGTAAGACAACGAAGTCCTGTATTAGATTTAATTAATCCTTATAATCAAGAAAAATTCTTGCAAAGAACTTAACAATTAACAACTATTGGCAAGATGATTAAATTTTTTTTGTAATTCATATTTCATAATACCATCTATAAGTTTTTTTTTATAATGATTCATTATATAATATATAATAGTCATTTATATTGTTTCCTCCTTAATTAATGGTAAAATCCTGCATGCATGGTATTTATAAATATAAATCATGTAAATGTACATTGTTTTTTTGAGTGCTCCAGAATTATTTTTCAAGTACCCTTAATGATATAAAAAACATATCTACTTTTCTTATTTTAAAACATGATACTATTATAGTTATCTTTATCATGTTTATATAGGCATTGAATCGAAGGATGGTCCATGAAACTTTCAAAGCGATCTAGATACATGTAAATAGAATATAATAAAAATGGAATCTGCAAAATTTTCATTTTTATGCAACTGTTTCATTATTAAAAAAAAAAAGAAGAAAGAAATGAGTATGTTCAATGCATTCGGTGTCCTCTGGATGTAATCCCATGGAGTGCAGTTCTAGATTCTTCCTTTTATAAATTCTAAGAAATCATAATTTATTGATAATTATGATTTTAAAACATATAAGAAAAATATACACATCATGATTAAACCATAAGCAAATGAAAGAACTAGACATATTTAATTTTTCAAAGTACTAGTACCATATATATTTTTTTTGGACTAGACGGGAAAATATTCATTTGATATTTTGAGATATTAAACATGTTAAATGTTGATGTGATTTTTGTTTATTACATTTATGTATAAATTTAGAATGCCGATTAATTCTTTAATGATGAATAATCATTGCGAATTTCAAAAGTAGCACTTACCTCGGACATCTGGCATGAAGACGACAAAATTGTAGCAAAAATAAAAGTAAACACTTTTTCTTTTTGTTTTTCATCCCTATAGAAAACATCAGCTAGCAAACAATTCTTCCGCATATTGTAATTTGTTCAAATTATCACTGGTTAATTTTCACAGGAATGGATATCTCCCCAATTGATCTGATGAACATCGAGGCATTCGCTGCTAAAGTGATTTCATTAACAGAGTACAGGAAAGGACTAGCTGACTATCTCAGGAGCAAAATGAAAGCCGTGGCACCTAATCTGGGCACTCTCATTGGTGATCAGGTCAGAAATAAGTTATAAATGAAATTTATGTAATTATTGTCTATGTAAAGAAATATTTTAAATGTTAAAGCTTGTTTGTTTTTATATTTGAATATCACATGTATAATTTATGTCTCCTTTACTGCAGGTTGGGGCTCGCCTGATTGCACATGCAGGCAGTTTAACTAATCTGGCCAAATATCCAGCATCTACAGTGCAGATATATATGCTATAATAATTGTGGTTTTCCAGTGGAGGTTAGACAGTTTAATGATTTCTAAGCTTCAGAAGTTGTAGGGATTGGAATTATCCATATACTGGGTACTTATTATGATGCATGCTTTGGATGCAGCATCTAAATGCATTTTTTTAAAAAATCTATAGATTACTAGTAAGCTTATCATTTAATTTGTTCTTGAGTTGTCTCAAAACCAAAGTCAACATACCTAAGTAGAAACAAAGTCAAACATGAAATAAGAGTAGAATTATCTAAATAGCTGACCGATTTCTTTCAAAGGGCCATTAAAACCAAGGGAAATACCCCCAAGTATGGACTTATCTTCGACTCTACATTCATTGGTCGCGCTGCAGCCAAAAACAAAGGGAGGATTTCCAGATACCTAGCCAACAAGAGTTCCATTGCTTTGAGAATCGATTGTTTCTCAGGTGAGGAAATAGCAGATGAAATTTAAATTATAAGTTTTACTTACCTTTATTCATCAATTTTGAGCTTACCTGAGCGGGAGATCAAAAGAGCTTTTCTGATTAAAATTTGCGTAAGCTGTAGTTTTTAGCTTACGTAAGTCAAAAACTCAAGCCAGTTTTTCTTATCAAAGGGTGCCCTGCATCCATCTTTTTGTGTACTTTTCACATTTTCCTCTTCCAGAGAACCACTGGGCCAATTTCAACCAAACTTGTCACAAAGCATCTCTACATGTAGGTGAAGGGTATTCAAATTTGCTCAAATGGAAAACTACCCCAAAAATATGAAAGTTACCTGAAAGCTTCATTAATATGTAGTGTAGATTTATTCAAGTTTTGTTTATCCAACACATTTTTAGGAAAATTTTAGGAATTTTTTTTTTAAAATCATTGTAAAAATTGCTTGTAAAAATATATTATCATTTAAATTGGGAAAATCAATATATACATGTATTGCAATATGAAATACACATCCCTCATTTGAACAGCATTTTAAATAAAGACTAATTTCTTCTTTCCATTTCTAACTGTAGAGATCCCCACTCAGGTATTTGGGGGACCATCTTAGACAGCAAGTGGAGGACCGCCTTAAGTTTTTGGACACGGGGGAGGCACCTCAGAAAAACATTGACGTCATGCATGAAGCTGTGCAAGAGGTGAGCTCTGGTAGTTTTTATCGAAAACAGTAAAGGAGAGAGGTCTTCATGATGAGTATCAGAGTAGTTCTCCAGATTTTACAAACAGATTCACTGATAGATGATAGTTTCCATGTTTTATTCAGAGTGTCCAAATGCAGCAATATAAATAATAAATTTTTCAGCAGCAAAATAAAAAAATAAGTACTGATTCATGAAACTAATGTTGCAGGCAGCAGTTGTTCAGGCTAAAGTAGCCAAGAAAGAGAAGAAGAAAAAGAAGAAAGAGAAGAGGAAATCCTCGGCTGATGATACCCTAGATACGACACAGGAGGCCGATACCACACAGGAAATGGACATTTCTCAGGAGGAGCCCAAGAAAAAGAAGAAAAAGAACAAGAGGAAGTCAGAGGGTGAGGAGGGCCTGGATACCACCCAGGAGATGGATACCACCCAAGAGGAGGAGCCACCCAAGAAGGAGAAGAAAAAGCCCAAGATGGAGGCTGAGGAGGAAGAGTCGGAGGAGGAGGTGACAAAGAAGAAGAAAAAGAAGAAGAACAAGTAATGGTTTCAAGATGAGAAGTATGCTCTCTGACCAGGGAAAATAGATATTGTACACCTTACTTAAATGATGTAAATGATTAGATAAGTAATGGTTTTAATATGAGAAGCATCATCTCTGTAAACCTGGGAAAATAAGAAATTGTACAGACTACTGATTTAGAGGTCGAAACTCTTGGAACACAGAGGAATTCTCATTTTATAATCTTTTATCTGCTTAATTTCTTAGAAGATGTACTAATTTTATTAATATAATGTTTGATTGGTTACATACTGTTCTGGTATACTGTGAAATGACAAATTTTGTGGGGGTTTAATTTTCGAGGTTTTCGAAGTATGAAGAGACCCACGAATTTATGTCCACCATGAAATGCAACTTTTCACATTATTGCAACTAAACAATACCTCAACCATGAAATTATGTCCCCATTAACCAATATATTTCCATCAAACCAGGAAAATTTGACCCCTCGAAAATATGTGATTTTACTTTGTTGTACTTTGTAAGCTGTGTTTACTTAAGTTTGTTATAATCTTTTATGTAATATGACGATATGTTACTGTCAAGATCTAGCAATAAAAAGACTTTTTATATTAACTGCGCAGTAAATTGTAATATTAGATAATTTTGAAAATTTCTGAAATTACGAAAATAAAAAACATTCTTTCCATCCTAAATGCTCATGAGTAGTATAAACGGTCCCGCTAGGACCGCATTCTGATTGGCTGAGAGGAATCACGTGATCAATTTTGATTGGTGGAGGGGATAGGTGGGTCAAGGGAGTGCATCCCCTGGGGGATAGGGGGGTCAAGGGAGTGCATCCCCTGGGGGGATAGGGGGTCAAGGGAGTGCAGCCCCTGGGGGGATAGGGGGTCAACTCAGTGCAGTCCTTGGGGGATAGGTGGATCAGTAGATAGCTCCTGAATACGGTGTTTACATTGGTACGTGGGTACTACGTTTTGTTTATGGACACAGGTAAATACTTGGCAGCGACTCAAAAAAGAATGTGATTATGACGTCACGCTTCACAGTCTAGACAGCCCTATAACCGGTTCAAACTGGTTTTACTGAAAACAAGAACAAACCTTGGATTTTTGTGAAAAAACATAGAACACTAACACAGATTTTTTTTTTCAATTTTTATTCAGAATGAAAATACATACAACAATTTATCAGGCTGTCTTTTTTTAATCTAAAATACCCTCCAAATTAATCATTCACTCCAACACATTCCATCCAGTCCAGCACATTCGAAATTAATCGTCCAGGCCGAATCATCATAAAACTTCAAATCATCATTATCATCATTACCATAGTCTCGTGCCCTCCAAGGAATATCTTTTTTATTTGGAAAATAAGGAATTATTCCATGGAGATACTGTGCAAAAGGACCCCTAAATCCCGGTCTCTTTAAGGGTTTTCAATCTCTCGTTTTTCCTTCTCTTTTGGTCTGGAGTAAATCTTCAATACACTTTTCTAACTTAGAGGTAAAGTAATTAGTTCCAATCAGAAAATCATCTTAATCATCCTCAGCTGTGATCTCCCATTTGTAGAGAAGATAACCCTTCATTTCCCCCTCAAAAGAGCAGTGCTTTCTTTTCACGACATAAATTTCAGGAAATTTCACTCTTTTTTTCCAACCATACTTTTTGTTTAGTTTCTTCAAATTTTTCTTCCCACATTTGTTTATAGTATTCACAATAAGTCCATGGTTTTTGATTAGATTCCTCTGAATGGGTTTTATGGTAATCCTCCCTGGCTTCTTCTAGGGTTTCCATCCAGGGTCCATTCTTGTCAGTATTCTCAATAAGCCACCTATACCTTGGTTCCATACCTCTGACTTGATCACTGAAACTTTTTTTTTACCTGTGTTCACTTCCACGTACTCACACAGAATGATCCTTCATGTTCAGCTCTGGTTTATATATATAGCATGGATTTATTTTAGGGCCGTGTGCAAAAATACGTTTTACCTACGTTTTCTTATATATACCTGTTTGCATCACCTGTAAAGAACCGTGTGCAAAAAAGGGTCGTGTGCAAAAGAAATATAC